CACAATCAAAATGACTCTGGGCTAATATGCAGACTTGGTGGAAATTTTAAGAGGCTCATGCTGTATTTCAGCATTTCAGGCCTACCTTTTCTAGCATTGCTTGGTTTGACTGCAAAGAAGTTCCTGGGGATACAGTCAGAATTATCCACATTCTAAGTGCAGGCCACGTGGCCCAGTTTGGTGTGACAAATCTTTGAGAAATTTCCCAATATGAATCACACATGTAGGGGAGAATCTGGCCCACAGACTTCCTCCAATTAAATGCTTGTCTAATAAATATTGCCAATGGCATACAGATGACTGTTAAAAGCTGGAGCAATTCATTTTAAGGCCTGGAAGTCATTAGATGCATTTTTTCATGCTAAAAGAATTTCTTGCATTATGATGTTGCCCTTAATAAGCAACAGCAAAAGCAACCACAAGAGAGTCCACAATTTACATATTTTGTAATAATAGCTAACAAAAGACATTAATGCAAGAAGGCCCTGGAGTAGCCAAGAGTGGCTTTTGCGTTTCTATGTCGGGCTTGTCTTCTAACCATGGTCTTAAGCTCTCATGTCACAAAGCAGCCCCAGAGCTGCCTGTGTTCCTGATTCCTATGCTAGCAATTGTCTTAGCTGACAGGGCCCCCTCAATGGTGCAGAGGTAGGGCCAGCCCCGATGGTGCAGAGTTAGGGCCAGCCCTGATGGTGCAGGGGTAGGGCTAGCCCCGATGGTACAGGGGTAACCCAACCTTCCATGATGAGGAGGCCATATTGGAGGTCCTGGGTTTACTTCCTACGTCTTGCTGTGTACACCAATGTGTCTTTGTTTTAGGCTGTCTGAGAATGCGAATAGGACTGTGATGTGAAGTCCCATTAGGAGCTCTCTCTGTCTCCCTCTCTCACGGAAAAAATAAGCCAAAAAAAAAAAAGGGAGAGATTGGTTGATTGGTCATAGGGACCCTCTGGAAATCTGAGTCAATTCGTAAGTGTCTAAAATCTCTGCTACCTATTCTTCACACCCAAGCTCATTTTAGGCCTTTTCCAACTGTGAGTTCATGTTTAAGCTTTCCTAAGCTTGAAATGCTGCAGGCTGGTAAGACTTGGGCCTGGAGTCTCCCAAAGGTCAGAGCGTGGAAGAGGGGGTGGGACACAGTGTTGGCTTTTCCTGAGCCATGCACAGTGACAGCAGTGGGATCGCTAGCTCCACCAGGCTCAGAGAATGCATAAATTTACTCTTCAATATTTTAGAATCTTTATGACTCTAAGACAAGCTCCCCTAGAGGCAATCTGTGAATATTCTTAGAACATTAAGAACAAAGTCCACAGCCCCCTACACCCCGCCTCTGATTACTGCTTTTATAAATACTGGCCAGGCTGGTATATAACCAAGGAGAGAAAAATCCCTATGAGTTACTCTAAAAGTGGAAAACCTAGACAATAGAGAACTGAACACACCACCATGGTACCAAAGCACATTTTAAAATACTTCAGATAAAATCATTTCTGTGGGAAAAAGCAAAACAAATTTATTGGAGTGTGTTTTGCTTTGGAGGTTTCCATTTGAAGGTTCACATTATCGGCTGGATAAGTTAACACCTATCTCTCATTCACATTTCATTAGCAGACGGCAGTGGAATTAGAGGTAAGAAGAACATTTATTTGAACCATCTTCACAAATAAACCACAGGATTCTAAGCCTGACTGTTTAACTGACACTCGGCTACATGTTCATATAGCGAATCGTCAACTTTTTCTAAGTCCAGACAGAATAGGTAAAAACATGTTATAACTGCAAAAGCCCACAACATAAAAAACATTTTGCCCTGACTATTACGGCCTGTGATTGCCTAAGTAAATTCTACGTGGTCCCTACATCTGATTTTAATTATTGACCCATTCGAGACTCTCCAAAATTAAAATATTGAATCTAAAAGGTCCTATTGCACCAGAACGTCCCATAGAGTAAAAAGCTGAAGTCTAGAAATCAGTTTCGGCTTTGTCATGCAGTAGCTGTATTACTGTGTGAAGTCACTTGACGTCGTCAGAACAAGTTTTGTCAACCATACAGTGACAGTTTGCCTAGTTGATCTCTAAGGTCTCCTCTAGGTTTACATTTGTGCAATTCTGCTAAATATAGAAAGCTAGAGCAAGACAAAAATAGACTACTTCAATGAATAACTTTCAAACTATTGATAATCAGTTTGATTCATCAGTCATGCACGGAGTCAAATGATTAGGAAAATAAAACTGAAAAAGTCTCTAAGAAGATGGATTACGTCTTCAGAATCTTTAAAACTGACTGCTCGACATTCATGTGGACGGATAACCATTTGTAAACCACAAGGCGAGTCAAGACTACTTGTTCTATACTGCTGCCAAATTCTACTCCATTTCCTACCGTGTTGAACTGTTTCCTCGTGACAAAGTCACACGATGAGACTACGAAGGCCACTGGCATGGCGGCGTGTTGGGATGTATCATCGTTACAACTCCGTCAGATAACTTTGTAGTTACTTAGGATCTAAAAATTCTATTCTGTAATATATCTTAGATTCACAAAATAAGTTCCAAAGACTGAAAAGTAGAGGCATTAAGAAAAAGCATTTCATTTGCGATGCCTTTCTTTCTCTGCAAGCAAGTCAAAAATGTAGCTTACGTTTTCAACATATTCCACTAGATTTTAGAAGGCAAATGAGTCTGGTTAAGAAGTGACCCTGACCACCCAGTAGAACCATTTGGGGAATCCAAGTGCTCCTCCCCGGACCAATCAGATAAAAATATCTAGGGTCAGGGCCTAGGCATTATGATTTTGAAATTCTCCAGTGATGCCAATGCACAGTTAAGGCAGAGAAACGATGCTGATTAAAACCAGGCTCCTTGACCTAAAATGCAGGATTGCTGGGTCCAAGGCACTGACACGGGTGGGCGAGACTTGAAAAGAAGACAAACCTCTCAATACCTACATGGTATTTTCTTCTGCTCAGAGAAACATCCAAGTGTCCTGCTCTAGGAGAGGACTCTGTGACTGAGAACATGCATAAAAACCAACTGAGGGCAACGATGCTGGAAGACAGTCCTCTTCAAGGGCAGTGCTGAGTTTGCCAACCCACCAGTGAAAACAGTGCTGAGGGCAAAATACTCCCTCTCCCTGTATCACCACTCAACAGCATTTCATCAGCAGATTCAAGAGCCAGAATTATGACTTTCTTAACTATCACAAACTATTGGACCCACTAAAGCAACCTAAATCAAACCAGCAATTCAAAGTGAATCACAATTCACGAAGATTCAAGGACCTTTACAGCCTTCCAGAAGAAGTCTGGAAAGCACAGATAGCCCTGCATTCTTCTCCTTAATAATATTCATTAGTCTTGCCTAAGATTTCACCAGTAAGATCTCGACTAGCAATCAGCTTACATGTGGCCTTGACTTTTGTCAATTCCTCACCTTATGAGGCACAGAAAACCATCCTTCTTTTAGAGAAGTGGAGAGGGGGAGGAGGAGTGTATACTGTGGGCCCTGGAGGCTGGCCCCATGAGAGGGGCTCCGTTGGCCAGCACTCTGCCTTCCGCCACATGGGCCCGGCCTCCCTCTCCACAGCTATCGAGGGTGAAGTCCACACCTTCCTGTTACCTCACTGATCCTCGGTCCACACACTCAACCAGTAGGAGGGTGATCTGCACACATGATTGGACATGCACAGAGAATTGCCACATGGATACAACACGCTATACACATGATCAGGTTCATCATGAAGGCTTTCTTCCTAGCCCTCAGTCAGTAAAAATCAACAAATTCCTGGTACCCTGTCATTAGGACTTGCAGTTGACCTTGTCTACCTTTTCTGGAAAACAAGCCACTTGGGTGAAATTTCATTTTTCTTAAAGATTTTACAAGTCAGGCATAGCCTATCCAAACCAGTGCCTGCCCAAAACATCCTCTAACAAATGTTGGCTAAAAATGAACGCGTCACTAGACAATCCCTACTGAAGCCCTAAACTCATGACCTCAGGTTACCAACAGCTGAAGACTTGCTCTCGGGCCTTCCTCACTCATCCTCCTCCTTCTCCTCATTCAAAGGCAGGCCACCCAAGGACACCCTTCTCGCCACAGAAGGGGACCTCAGCACGGCCGGGTTGCCAAACACGAGGGCCTGGCTCCTGGGGCCCACCGCCTCCGAGTCTGAATCACTGGACTCGGTCCCACTGCTGGTGCAGCCCTCGGTCACTTGCAGAGGTGCCAGGTGGTCTGCCATACTCACAGCACACCCTGGCTGCATACTGTGGGCCCTGGAGGCTGGCCCCATGAGAGGGGCTCCATTGGCCAGCACTCTGCCTTCTGCCACACGGGCCCGGCCTCCCTCTCCACAGCTATCGAGTGTGTCTATGGCCTCTGGGGTGGTGGCCACCTGGCTAAGGATCAGCGGGTCTGTCTCGGACTTGTTGTACCTACTGGGCAGGTTCCGTAAGTACGGCCTCTGAGACGCCGGGGAAGAGCTTTCATGGTGAGGGCTCTGGTTTGGGAGGGGATCTTCCTCCACACGTCTCTCTCTATGGTCATGCCCATTTTCAGACACATAGCCTTGAGACCCAGTCCTGTCCCAGCTCATATTGGGACTTGAACTTCTGCTTCTGGGAGACAAGGGGGTGGCCAGGGGGCTGTGCCCCGCTGAGCCCCTGAACATCTCATCTATCAGAGAGCTATGTCTTGGGAGTCTGGGGCTCCCACTCATATCAAAGGTTATGTCTGCTGAATCGTCATCCAGGAACTCTCTGGAAGGAGGCCGGGAGGACTTGGCAGAGTGAGGGGAAGCCCTGTGTCGCCTCGCCTCGATTCGCCTCTCCTCCCTGGAGAGCAGATAAACACCACTGGTCAAATCACCCTCATAGTTGTCATTTGTTTGGGACCGGGACTGGGACCCTGGTTCTCGGAGCAGGTCGTATTCGCTATCTACGTCACTGCAGTCAATGAAAGGAATGGAAGTACTGCTGCCTCGGGCAGCCCGGGATGCTGGACCTGTGCTCGGCTGCGGGGCCTGAGGCCTGCTCTGCTGGGTCCTGTTCGGAACGACCTCCTCCTCTTCTTCCGGCGGCGGCGCCCTGACTGCTCCGTCCACCTGCTGGTTCCCCGGGGGGCTCTTCTTCAGAGCGGGGCTCTGGCGGGGCCCCGACTCCTCGCTGGACACTTTCAGTTCCTTTCCTTGCGGGCTGCTCTGGCCACCCGGGGACTCGGCACCGTCTCCAAAGGTCAGGCTGGCACGCTGCGGAGGCTGGGAGGGACAGGGCAGAAGGAAGGAGGGGGAGGGGGGGAGAGAGTTAATCCAGAGCCCAGGACCACAGAGGCCAGCCATCTCGGGACATCCCCTGACGCTGGAGGGCGGGCATGGCTACCCACTGACAACAGCGGCCTGACAACAGCGGCACTCATCAGTGCACTGGGCCCTGGTCCAGAAAGTTCTTTCAGGGGCACGGATGATGTAGGGTCTGGCTTTCTGGGCGCGAGTCTCACATGGGGTTCCCAGTCTCTACAGAATGGGAAGGCCACAGGGGCCTTCCCGTGGAGGGCGGGCAGGGACAGGAGTGCTCAGCAGAGACCCTGAGGGCAGGGTGACACAGACTTCGGGGAAACGACAAGGTCTGTCCTTCTTAGGGTGGCTCGGGTAGGGCAGGGGCCCGCAATGGATGTTCCCAGTGGACTTTTCACATTCTTCCCGGGCTAAGCTCTTTCCTTTTAGAGAAAACTTTGAAAACTCACTCGGAGACCGGCTCCAGGAAAAATGAGCTCTCACCACCGTCAGAGCAAGAGTGACAATCTCTCTCTCTCTTTTTAAAAGCAGACTTTTACCACTGAGCGCATACACTCACCAGAGAGATAGAGAGAGGGGAGTAAGAAATCCCTCCGGGGCAGGGAAGGGGAAGGCTACTCTCCCATCCCCTCCCCTCCGTTCCCCTCTCTCAACTTTGGCCACAGATGCATATGTGCCTGGCAGGCTTTCCCAGCCTCCGGGTCCGGGACTCGAATCACGGACTCGGCCACGTGGGATCCAGCACCTTAACTGCCATGCTGCTTTCTAGCCCCAGCACTTTGTCTCGCTGCCGGTTGTGGTCACTGCCCTGTCACCCAAGCCCTGGGAGCTCACTACCCCGTTCTGTCCAGCAGTAGCTTCTGACCTGGCATCAAGTCGAGCTATACCCATAGATTGCAGAGGGGTCCCCACCTTCATGCCAGCAGACCTATTTAGCTAGAGGAGGGCGTGGCTGGCGCTAGTGGCCCCCTCATTGGCTCCACCCCTAGGCTGCCCAGGCCCCAGCGGCTCAGCAGGTGCAGAGGCCAGGCAGCTGGCTGCAGACAGGACACACGCGGAGCCCTCTGCCAGGTTGGGTGCTCAAGGCACCAAGCCATGCCTGCTGCTAGTCAGAGCCCCCGATCAGGCCCTCTTCAAAAAATACCCACTTGGTCAGGGAGGAAAGACCTGAAAGCAGTCTATATAGCACAGTGCCCGGCAGGGGAGTCTGTGGGGAAACAGTTCTGGCAGCACATCTCCGGCACTGACCTGCTTTGGCACTTCTGGATTCGGCTCTGTGGGTGGGGCAAGGCTTCTGGTCGAGTGAATCTTGCTGTGTTTTCTAGGAGAATCACACAAGACAGCTACAGTTAGGTGAGTTTTTGTGGTTGCTTGCTTGTTTTATTTATTATTAAAAAAATTGTTTTTCTTTTCTTTTTATTTCATTTTCTTTTATACATTCAATCACATTATTATTTGGCTTACAAAATGGATATTTCAACAGGTGAATGCTTGCTTGTTTGAAAGGAAACAGAACTTTGAAACATGAGGTCCTTCCTCAAGAATGAAGGCACCCACAGTCCCTTTTTCTTTTCTTTTCTTTTCTTTTCTTATTTTTTTAAAGTTTTTTGCCATAGGGTGCTTGCAAATTTGATCAGAGAGAGAAAGAGGAAAAGTGAGAAAGCAAGCCACCAGGTTTGAGAGTTGAACCACAGTCAGCCACGTGGGAGTCCAGCCCCCCTTAACTACTACACCACCTGCCAACCCCCAACCCACTTTTTTTTTTTTTTTGGAGAGATTTTCACTGTAGGGCGCGTGCGCTCGCCAGACAGACAGAGAGAGACATAGAGACAGAAAGCGAGAAATCACCCCCCGGGGGGGGGA